CTCGACACGGTAGCCTCGGATCTTGTCGCACACCAAAGAGACACTCTCACCCAAAGAAAGGACCTCGCGCAGAAGACCAAAGACTTTCGGAAACTCGACGATGCAAGCAAGCTCAGCGACATCAAGGGCCTCTTGAAGTGTAAGCCTCCACTTGCGCAGCTGACTGAGCTCTACTAAGCCAGATTCGCAGCATACCAGAATTTCATTGATCTTATATCCAACCAGTCCAAGACGGTACAGGCTGCCTTCTTCCAAGTCTACTCGCCGCTCTCTGAAGCACCCGACCCATATCCTCTCCTCGAAGCCTCCGTCGACTCGCTTGTGACCTCCGAAGAACTCGTGCCAAAGCTCACGTCTGAGAACGAGCGCCTACAGAAGACGGTAGCGAAACTCACCACACAACTCGACGATTCAGACAAGAAGTTGGAGGAGGAGCGGACGGCACGGAAAGCCCTCGAGGACAGCCGAGACAGCAAGATCAAAGACGTGGAAGCGTCATGGTCGGCTGTGCTGAACGAGAAGCAGGACAACTGGGAGTCAAAGGAGAAGAGCCTGGAAGAGAAGGTCGAGAACCAGGACCGACTGTTGAAGGAGCTCAAGGCCAGTTACGAGGTCTCACAGCGACTTGGTCAGGGAGAAGCGTCTGAAGAAGAAGGCGGTCGCGGTGCTACTGCGGCGGAGCTTGAGATTGTCAGCTCAGAGCTCGAGCGAACAAGCCACCGATTGGCAGAGGTCACAGCACGGAACGAGCAACTACGCCTCGAGTTGGCTCAGTCTGCATCTGCGCCAGCGCAACAGGTTGCGGTTGAAGACGATCCGGCCTTCCTGCGATTACGATCCGAGAACTCATCACTCTTACGAAAGCTGGAGAATGCGCGCTTCGAAAAGGACTCCGAACGAACACGGCTCGAGACAGAGACAAGGAGCTTGGAGCGGGAGATCAAGTCGCTGCGGAGTGAAAAGGAAGCTCTTCGCGAGAAGGTGCAGAAATGGGGCGACTACGAGAACGTGAAGCAGGAGTTGGAAGTGCTCAAGGTAGGCTCTTCACATGATGCTGTTGAGTCCAAGCTAATTTGCGGCAGTCAATCGAGTTCGCAACAGGCGACGACGACGATGAAGCCACTGAAATCGCCCTCTCACAAAACACCACATCCGGCAAGGGCAAAGGCGAAACACTGGAACAGCTCCTGCTCGCTCGCAACAAGAAGCTCAGCAACGAGCTCACCGTCATGCGCGTCTCACACCAAGACCTGCAGAGCAGGCTAGAAGCTCTACAAGAAGAGCTCTCAAACACAAACATGGACTTGGAAAAGTCCCGCCAACTCAACGAGACACTAGAAGCCGATCTGGAGAAAGTCCAACAAGAAGCCACAAACGCCTTCGACCCTTCTGGCATGTCGGTTGCAGGAACCTACGTATCGCGTTACCCGCAATCTTCCTTTGGCGGAGGACGAAGAGGCCGCTCATCACCCACCTCCTCCATAATCTCCGGCTTCGACAACTCGTCGCAAGCACCCACACTAGCCTCTCTGCGTGCGGGAGGGGGAGGGGAACCCATGGGCGGCGGCTCCGGCATCCTCCCCATGATAACCGCGCAACGCGACCGCTTCAAGAAGCGCAACTCAGAGCTCGAAGCCGAACTGCAAAAGTCGTACCAAACCGTCTCCTCCCTCCGAAGCGAGATAGGTGCGCTACAAAAAGACAACCTAGACCTCTACGAGAAGACTAGATATGTGAGTAGCTACAACGCCGTCAACAGAGGCCCCGCCTCCAGCGCTTCAAGTTACGGCGCAAACCCCAATCCCTCTGCCATTAACATCGATTCTGGAGGCAGTGGCTCAACAGTCGACACCAAATACCGCTCAGCCTACGAGTCAAACCTCAGTCCGTTCGCTGCGTTCAGGGGCCGCGAGAGCGCACGCGCAATGAAGCGCATGCACCTCTTTGAGCGCATGGTTCTGCGCGTTACTAAATTTGTGCTTCAGACGAGGACGAGTCGGAATATCTTTGCGGGATACCTGCTTGCGCTGCATTTCATGGTGTTTTATTTCTTGTTTAGCTTTGAGGCGGGGGCTGCTGGGGGCGCGGCGGTTGTGGCGGGGCCGAGTGTGCCTGGTGGACCGGTTCCTGGGCCTGAGGACCCCGGGGTGTGGCATAATGAGGATGATGGGACTAGTTGAGGGGGGAGAGATGGGGTGTATTATTAGAATGGGTTTCGGGTGGGTAAAGGTTGTTATTGTGTACGCATGTGCCTTGGGGGTTTGGAGCTGGGGGCGATGATACATCAAATTATTCATCATTGGTATCACTTATCCCTGATACCACTGATGAATAATTTGATGTTATCAACGTCGCGAGTTCCTACTATCCCGTCCACGGCACAGCGACCATAATAAGCCTTTGCTGTACCTGGAGACTCAGAAGCGACCATTTGAAGAGCTTTTCCTCCAACAATTCTATGGGTCTCACGTCGATCGAGAAACGGATCGATGATCAACGATCAACGTGGGAGTTTGAATCTATTTACAGGCGCTGGCATCTTTTTGCAGAATTGAGATGCATTTTCGTCTTCCCATTGCTTGAAACAAGATGTACAATAATCAAGCACGGCGGATACGTCGTCGACCACCCTCCAAACAGTCTACTGATAGGTCCTAACCACGAAAGCAGAACAAGTACAGCATATGCACATGAAAATCCGTGGCACATCTCAGATAGCAAAGTTTGGACATACCAGCATAGAGCCTACCACATGTCAATACCACTGTCGTGTAACCATACTGATATCGCAGCGCATCGGTATCTCGACCACCCGGCGGCTGTCCGATAACCACGCGCAGCAGACCAAACATGTGCTCGACTCGACACTCACACAACCAGCAAAAAATCACCAGGAACGAACGGCAACAAAGCGTGCCATGGAACGCAAGAGTGGCAAACCATTCGCAAGCGCGAAGGACGTCTCGCGGTTATGTATAGCAGACAGCGCACTGCCCTCATGGCATCTGAATGGCCATCTCCAAAAAAAACGTATGGCGACACGCCATCGTCCTTCATGTTCTCCCATCCCCCAGCTTCCCTGGTTCTTCTAGCAGAACCGCTCTCGGGCACTGCTATCCAACGAAATGGGGTATCGAGGAACAGAAACCGGGAAAACGGCCATGCAAGAGCGGAATGTCAAACAAAGATCCCCGCTTACCCATCTCGCTCAATCCACCTGCACGACATTGGTATTCCCAGCCAGTGACCAGCAAGCCAAATACAACGCATCCAATCCACAATGCCAGTCGAAGAAAACCAGAGACCTGTTCGCCGGCCGCTGGCTGCCAATAGCGAAGCGCCGAGATAGCGTTCGAGGATGCTAGCGCTGGAGGCCTGTCCAGGCCCGTTCTGGTCTCTCATTGGCCAACCTTCGCAATATCCCTGTGAGTAGCCGGATGAGGTATATTAGCTGTCATTTCTTTTACCTTCCCGTCGCTGCATGCAGTGTATATTAATAGTCTTTTTCTGTGGATGCGGGGGTTATTTGCGGTGTTTGTACCTTCTACATCTGGTTTGGCGGTGCGGGAAGGTGCAGGTGGGTATCTGCGACCAGCGACGCCAGCGACGGGTGGGTACAGGGTAGTGGTGCTAGGAATGGTAGCTTGGGTACTTGCCAGCTGATGATTGCGTGACTAGGTGTAGGACGGGCGGCTCTGCGGGTAGTGGGTGGGAGAAGGAAATGGAGGGAGGAGGGAAGGAAAGTGGAAGGACTGGGTGTGGAGAGGGCGGTTGCTGTGTCCAGCTTGATTGTGGTTGTTTGTGAGGGTTTTTGGTTTTGCACTGTACTGTAGTAGGTAGGTAGGTAGGTAGATCCTGGTCGCGTGCTGATTTCCAACTTGCCAGGCTCGAGGTATGCTGGCGCTGGCATGATGTTCCTGTGAGGTTTCCAAACTCAGCGCAGGAAGGCGGGCGACATCCGTCTTACTTCAACATCAATCATCAACTATCTATACTCCCACATCCACAACACAGCCCCAACTCCAAACCTCCACCTCCCATCAGCACATCATCAAGAACCCCTCCCGACGATCACAGATCTGCCCATCTCCATCTCCATCTCGCATCAGCACCTTAACCTTCTACCCATTACCAAATTACCAACCCCCTCCCGTCGCGCTCCCCAAAATAGCCATCTCGCCAGCCGATCCCCACGGGCGTTTACAGCACTAACCCCCAAACCCGGCTAGCGGCCGTCCTGACCACCCCCAGGCGCGCTCGGCAGAACAGCGAACCACAACACACCTGCCATCCCTCCCATCTTGCACAAAACGCTGTGAGCCTATCACACCCCCGCCAGCTATATTTGGGGTCTTTTCCTTGCCTGCATTAGCGGACTAAGTGAGCAAAGCGAGCGAAAGCAGTGGCTGGAAGGGCGAGTGGGACACGGCGGTAAACGGTTGCTCGGCTTCGCAGACACTTTGTCGCGTGTACTATGGATGGATCTGTGTGGAGCGGGCGACTACGCGCTGGGAGTAGGGATAGCGATGGCGCAAAACTGGTTCGTTTCGTAGTGTAGCGCGATGGGTACGTTGTGTATATAGGAAGATGCCATACACGGCCTCGTTGACGGTTTCCCATATCCACCTCACTACCAACACAACATCTCACCTACCTCTACAAGAGACCCGCTTTCGTCGTCGTCGCGTACTTTCCTTTGGGCTTCTTTCCTTGAGGGTTATTTCTGACGTTTGTTTCATTTCGCTTGGACCGTTTTTATTCATCTTACGGATCTCATCGCTTCCGAGTCTTACAATAGCTCAGCAACAACAACAATCTATTCCCGGAATACTCATCATACCGGCGGCAAGGCTTACAGTACATTCCTGAACATCGTCTGGTTTCTGGTATAAACATCGACGACAGTCGCGGGCTTTTTGAACATCACACAAGCATCCAAGACTTCGACTCGGCAATCTACTCTGCATCAAGATCTATATTACACCCAAGACATCCCAACCATGATCTTCACCAACACCCTCAGCCTCGTCTTGGCCCTGGCACCAGCCACCATCTTCGCCGCTCCCAGCCAGACCGTCGACTCGATAGCAGCTTTGATCCCAAGGCGGGACATCCCCGCGGTCATCTACAAGGAGCTGTTGAAGACAGACTCACTATGTGATCTATCCAACGTTGCTCTCCCTGCTGGTACGTCCCCCCATCCCCACCACCAACCATCCAAGAAACAACCCATATTAACACGCCCCAGCACCCACCCCCCTCGCGGCCCCCGCAAAAGGCACATCCCTCCGGCACATCGCCATCGGCCGGGGCACCCAAAACTACACCTGCGCCGACTCCTCCTCCTCCACCATCCCCAAAGCCACCGGCGCCATTGCCACGCTCTTTAACGCCACCTGCGACGCCGCCCGCCTCAACGTCAACATCCTCGGCCAAGTCACCGATCTCGCACTCAACTACGCGATCCCCACGTCCGCAGAGGCAGACCAGCGTCTCTCTGGCCACCACCAGTTCACCGCCGCGGGCGTCCCTCTGTTCATGCTTGAGACTGACAAGAACGACTTCGGTCGTGTGGAGTGTGCTGTTAATGCGAAGAGTGCTGCGCCCGCGACTGCGACCAAGGGGACGAATGGTCTGGGTAGTGTGCCGTGGCTCAAGTTGAACGCTACGGTTACGACTGAGGGCCAGGCGGCTTGGGCGTACAATGAGGTTTACCGGATACACACTGCGGGTGGTATGGCGCCTAAGGACTGCAGTGGGATTGAGGGCAGTTTTACAGTGGAGTACAGTGCGCAGTACTGGTTTTACGCTTAAGTCATGGCGGGGTGACTGATTGTTCTTCCTTTTTTCTTTTCCGTCTTCTTCTGTATAAAGCATTTTCATCGGCGTTGGGGGCACGGAATGGGAGTACCGGTTCAGCGTTCCGGCAGGAGCATAGTAAGCCTATCTGGATACGGGCTTCGATTAGTAGTTAGCATATACCATTCTCCGCGATTCTCTGTTCATGGCTCATAGTTGGGCGAACAGTAATCGTAATATTCAAATCACAAAAGCCGTTGATACGTTATCATCTCGCTCTTTTCAAGTGATGTCTTTACGTCGTCTCTCAACTATCCTCTGGTTCCTCTCTCTTCGGCTTTCGATGCCTCGAGCTTCTCTTTCGGAGTAAAGTTCCCTTTTCAGGGTCGATGTCGGGTACGAGCAGCTTGTTGACTTCTCCTTTGGCTTGCATGACCTTCTTTGGCCAATCATAACATATATCGATGCGTGATCTGGGTGCGAATATTTCCAGAACGAGGTAGATGAGGTAGTCGACGATGACGCAGATGCAGAAGAGTTTGCCAGCCCAGATGCCGCAACCGAAGTATCTCTTCAGCCGCTCAATTAGTGCGAAGCTCTGCACACCCGCACGACCACGTGTTGCACTCCATGCACCAGCTGCTCCTGCGCCTTGGTAGAAATCGCTGTGACTGATTACGCCGCTAATTCCGTCGTAGACTCTCTCTGTTCGCTGCGCAATGTCGGTCCAGGAGTACATCTGCTTGACCTGGTTATGGAAAAGCTCCGTCCTGACCTTTCCAGCTCGCAGTTTGGCGATGGCACGGCCTGTTGCTACGACTAAATCGTCTTCTTCGGGTGCCGCGAACTCAACCATATGGGTTGGCAGCACTTCAGGGATGCCTCCGACTCGGGTTGCAACAACGTAGAGTCCGCAGGATGCAGCTTCTACGATAACGGTTCCGAACGCCTCTGTCAATGAGGGGCAGAGGTAGATGTGTCCCCGTACCATGACGTCTCTGACTTCTTCATGGCGGACCGGACCGATCATGAGGACCTTGTCTTGCAGCACGTTCCGCTCGATCATCTGTTCGAGATCGATAGCCTTCGGTCCGTTGCCAGCGATGATGAAGCGCACGTTTGGGTTCGCAGCAACGATGTGGGGTATAGCAGCGACTAGAAGATCGGTGCCCTTGTTGTAGTATAGCCGTTGTATGACAATGACAGTAATAATCTCATCAGGGCGCATTGGCTGTCGCGGACCAGGCGCCTTCTTCGTGTGCGTAGGGTCGACCGAATCGTGGGATAAAGGACGGAAGTTCTCTGCGACCACCGCGTTGGGTATGACAGAGACCATGAGTGGATCTAGCGAGGCTCGAAGGACAGTGTTCTCTTTGCTACAATGTGTTAGCAGCTGCCAGCCCCGGAAAGAGTACCAATGGAGACATACCAAGTATGACTAACGCAAATGACATGATCCACATCACTCAAGGTAAACTTGAGAAGCTTGTTCGTAAGTATGCTTCCCGCATCCGCAAACCCAAAGAGACTGTGATCCGTGAAAACGGTCCTCAGCCCCATAGTCCTCGCATGCAATATGGCCTCATGGCACAGACTACTAAGACTGGCATGGCCGTGTACGATGCCGATGTTTTCGCGGATGACGATGTTTCGGAATATGGGGAAGAAGGAGAAGACGGTCGGGAAGGTGGTTTCGCGGTATATGACCCAAAAGGGGACGTAGTAGACTTTGAGGCCGTTGGTCAGGTAGCGAACGCCAGTCCGGCCAGCGTAGGCGTGTGTTATGACGATTACTTTGTGGCCGCGGTCGATTAGTTTCTGGAGGTATTAGGATTGGACACAATGAGACTTAGTGATGGGGACCTACACTGGACAGTTGGTACATGTGACTTTCGACTCCTCCTACGATTGATGAGTACTGCGCCGAGTCTCAAGACGCGGCTAGGTGCATACCGGGCTGAGGGTAGAAGTTGTCGCTGACCATAGCGATGTTGTACGGCATGATGTCGGATTGTGAGGACTGGCACCTCGAGTCTGCTCAGAAGGATACATGGCGCTCAAGCCTGGGCGCAATTGGAAGGTACCATGGGTGTATCTGGCGGGGAGCACCTGCTTTGTCGCGAACTCAGGGCCTCGGCGCGTCACCGTCGGCGTTTGGCGTGGCTGGAACTCCGACTAAATTTCCAGGGTCCATAGATTTTCTAAACTCACCATCCGCCTGTCGCAACCATCGCGAATCCTTCCAGGCGCTATTTCAAGCTGTCGCAACCTGAACTCGCGCAGCATCGAATACACCATGTTTCAAAGACGTTACGTGCCGCCCGCGGTTGTCGCCAAGAAGCAGCCTTCACCTCCCGCGCCCGTTGTCGCAAAGGCCTCCAGCCCTGCAACTGCTACGAATGAAGAGGCCGCTGCCTCAAGTCCCGAGCCAGTAGAAACCAGTCCGGTAGCAGAGGCGAAAAAGACCATCAAGAAGCCCAAAAAGAGAAAACGCGAAGCCGAGGCCGCCAAAGAGGAGGATGATGAGATTTCGAAGAAGCACAAGAATGTCTTCTCCAAATTCGAAAAGGCAGCGAAGCTAGCTGAAGCCAAAAGTCAAAATGCAGAGGAGGAACCTGCGAAGAATACGCAAGAAGAAGGAGAGCTTCATGATCTCGAGCCTATGCCGCAACCCGCACCGATTCCCGAGCCCGTCTACGAACCCACCTTCTCCACCCTTCCCACCTGGCTCGCACAGCCTACTACCGTCGAAGCGTCGAGAACAGTCCCGTTCGCTGAACTGGGCGTAGATCCCCAATATGTCAAGAAGCTCGAAAAACAAGGCTTCAAGGACGCTTTGGCTGTACAAACAGCATTGCTACCTCTGCTACACCCTGGTTTTGACCAACACTTGGGCGATATATGTGTGTCGGCAAAGACTGGCTCTGGAAAGACGCTGGCATATCTACTCCCTATTATCGAAGCGCTCAAAGACCGTACTGTACCTGTCCTATCCGCCATCGTCGTAGTACCAAGCCGGCAGCTCGTCAACCAAGCCCTACAAGTCGCTGAGGACCTGTGCGCTGGAACAAAGATCAAAGTAGGAACAGCGTTGGGCAATGTCGCGTTTGCGACGGAGCAGAAGCAGCTCGTCAAGATGCGACCGCAATACGATCCAAGGAGAGCACAGGAGCTGCAGGAGAAGGCTTCTCGACAATATCAGACAGGCTTCATGGAGCGCGGAGGATTGTACGACGACCTGAGAGCCATGCCTCTCGATCACGTTCCACAATATGATTCGGGCGTGGATATTCTCATCTGCACTCCCGGTCGATTAGTTGAGCACATCGAGCACACGACCGGCTTTCTGCTCAACAGCGTGCGCTGGCTTGTCATCGACGAGGCTGACCAGCTCTTGAATCAGAACTTCCAGGGCTGGGCAACCGTGCTCATGGACGCCCTTCACGGTGAGACTCCTGTGGACTTCATGAACGCCCAAGAGCGGATACGAAAGCGGGAGCGCGACGCCAACTCCATCTGGTCCATGGCATTACCTGCTCGAAGGCAACTCACCAAAGTTGTTCTTTCCGCGACAATGGAAAAGGATCTCACGAAGCTAGGCACGCTCAAGCTAAAGCGACCGAAATTGGTTGTCGTACAAGATGAGACAACTGAACTTCAACCACTGGAGACAGAAGAGAACGTGTTCGAGCTACCGTCCACACTGGAAGAGTTTGCAGTACATGTCGGCGATGGTTCAAACAAACCATTGCACCTGCTATACGTACTACTCAACTACGTCTACCCAGGCACGCTGGAACTGTCGAAGCCATCTTCAGACTCGACAGATTCTTCAGACTCGGATTCATCCTCAGACAGCGACTCTTCGTCTGATTCAGAAAGCCGCGCAATCATATCCCAACAAACCGGCCGCGTCCTCATCTTCACCAAAAGCACAGAAAGCGCATCCCGCCTATCCCATCTCCTCAGCGCCCTTATGCCCCTCTTCGCCACCCACATAAAAACCATGACCCGCGCCCTAACAGCAGACGCCTCCCGTAAACTCCTCAAATCCTTCAGCACCGGCGCCACCAAAATCCTCATCGCCTCCGACGCCGCGTCCCGCGGTTTGGATATCCCTGATATTACTCACGTGATCAACTACGATCTTCCTACCAGCATTACGAGTTATGTGCACCGCGTGGGCCGGACGGCGCGTGCGGGTAAGCCGGGTGAGGCGTGGACGATGTTCACGAAGACGGAGGCCGCGTGGTTTTTGAAGCAGGTGGCTAAGGGGGATGGGATTAAGAGGGGGGGTAAGAAGGTTAAGAGAATGGAGTGGAAGGAGAGTGCTGTTACGGCGGATGGGAAGAAGAAGGCGTATCGTGCGGCGCTCAAGAAGCTTGAGAGTGCTGTTACTGGGAATGCCGACGCAGAGTAGATTTGCGAGGAGAATGCGTCTTGACTTGGACGCAGACGCAGACTCAGACCCAGATCCAGTCTTGGACTTGGACTTAGACTGGGGTCTGGTCTTGATTTGCGGCGAAATGCATGTTGTTGACCGCAACAAGTTTGCTTCGAAGATAAGGCAGCCGCCAACTTTTATTTCCTTTTCCAGATGCCCAACCCACAGCTAGTATCGGAGAATTTCAGTGCCTGCGTGTACCAAGCTTCCTCAAGCAGCTTGGCTTTGCTTGATACCATCCTCTACGATCGACACATGGCGTGGAGTGACATGCGCCAGCGATGAGTTTGCATCGCAATTGGCAGGTGATAAGGAACTCTAAACCCCCGAGCATCGGCATAGCAGTGCATCTCCAACGTTGATAGGACATGAACAACATTCCGCAGTCCAGCCTGGGGGAGCGCCAACTCGCAAAGTGTGGTGCTAAGCATTCTCCTCGGCATGCGTGACCAAGCTTGATGGTGCTTGATACCATCCTGCTCCGTGGTGTAGTGTGCTTGGAATGTTGCGGATCACGTCCTGAATTGGCAGGTTGGAAGCGCAAGCGGCCTTGTGATGCGCAATTGGCCGAGCTCGAGATTCGCGATTTTGCGGGCAAAAGTGCCCCATGCTGATGATTGGTCGTGGCATGTGTCTTTGCGACATGAAAGGGTTAGTTAGGCCAAGCGGGAAGGTCCACTAGGGCCGGGCCTACACTCAACCTCTCCCATGTGCCGTCTGCAGACGCCCGCCCTTCAACCACACGACCCATCGCCACCTACCTAATGCAGTCCGCCGCCGCTCTTATCGCGTTGTTTGCTAAGTTACGCTGTTAATTAATCATGCGTTAACAGCTACCGATCGGCTGGACGACTCGGCGAGTTTCTGGAGGCTGGACATCGGGCGCAAGGGCAGATGTGACTGCGCTGTTCGCCGGCAGTTGGCCTGCTGATCGCGAGCTATCCATGGTACTACGGCACGTTTGCATGCGACTATCGATACCAAAGCATGTGTCAACAGGCGAACGACAGCCATGCAGCCACGGTGTAGAAAGCATGGACACACGTTGACGACATTGACGTTACTGACGGATGTCCGTGTTTGCATGACCAACACACCTCAGGCCATCTCCAGGCCGCGTTTCAAACGGCTGTGGCTGTCCCGCTCCCTGCAGCATAATAGCGCCAAGCGTGAAAGTGGCATGCTTGGTAGCGCGCTTCGAAGCTTGACTGGCAGGCACACGCACTACACGACACTGGGGAAGCACTAACCCGCCACTTAGCGAACAAGGGACGCTATACTATGGCAACTTTCATTCCAGCAGTCACCAATAGCCATGAAGATTCGGTACAGTACTATTAACTTGCCACATTCTTCGAAACATACCTCGGTCCCGCCGTTGCTTTCGCCTGCGGAACCTCACAGCCTGCAATTACACGATGTAGTACTACGGACACGCCGCCACGCATTCGGTCCTACACTCGCGCAAGATGGTCACTTCAGTCGCAATATCCGATCTACAAGGGCCGTCGCCTATCCCAAGCGCCCATCTACCAACACCCGGCTCCGCATGCACTTGCGTGACCGACGCCAAGTCTCAATGTAGCAGGTAAATGTATGAAACGCGGCGCCACCGCCTTGCGAGCATGATCGACCTGCCAAGATAGGACTCGTTACCATGAGTGGTTGCGGGATCTAATTTCAATGTTGATCGTTTACCCCACTATGATCCTACACTACGCCTACGATGCCAATAGAGGGCGGCGTAGACAGATCGAACAGGGTAACGAGCACATCATCGTCATGGACAAGACTTTATGCCGCGCCTTGTTGGCATTGCTTGGTATAAAGTCAAGGCATCTCCTCGCCTCTATTGCTTCTGTACCGGCTTCGTCTTCTCTTCAAGCCTCTCATACAGGCTTCAGCTACCACTGGCCTTTCACCCCTCGCTCTTCCGCCGTATCAGATAGTCCATCGTTATCATGCCTTCATTCGCCCACCTCACGGCGGCGCTCGCGTTTGCCAGCACTGTTGTTGCCACTCCCGTTCTGCGTATGTCAAACACTGTCTTGATGAGAAGCTCCCACCTAACACGTGATACAGACAAGGGAAACTCCTTCTCGGTCGAGCAAGTTCCTCGCTCTACCTACCTGAAGAACGGACCCGAGCAGAAGATCAAGGCCCTCCGCAAGCACGGCAAGGCTGTTCCCCAAAGCCTTGTTGAGGCTGCACAGAACAGGGCTAGCAACACTGTTGTTGCCGCTGCTGCTGCCAGTGGATCAGTGCCTGCCGCTCCCAATGACGCATATGACTCGGCATACCTGAGCCCGGTCACTATTGGCAGCACCACTGTCCACCTTGACTTCGACACCGGAAGCGCTGACTTGTAAGTCACGAGGGGGCGAAGTGCCTATCCTCATATAAGACCCACATCTAATGTAACCACAGGTGGGTCTTCTCGTCTCTCCAGGCCAGCTCCCAGACCGCCGGCCACGACTACTACAAGGTCGATGCCTCCAAGGTCAAGAGCGGCTACTCCTGGAAGATCTCCTACGGCGATGGCTCCGGTGCCTCCGGCAAGGTCTACGCCGACAAGGTCACCGTCGGCGGCGTGACAGCCACGAGCCAAGCGGTCGAGGCTGCCACCTCCGTCTCCGCGCAATTTTCACAAGACGTCGACACGGACGGTCTGCTCGGCCTGGCCATGTCCACCATCAACACAGTACAACCCCAGCAGCAAAAGACCTTCTTCGACACCGTCAAGTCGCAGCTCGCGTCGCCTCTCTTCGCCGTCCAACTCAAGTACCACGCCGCCGGCACCTACGACTTCGGCTACATCGACAAGAGCAAGTACACCGGCCCCATCACCTACGTCAACGCCGACGACAGCCAAGGTTTCTGGGGCTTCAGCGCCTCCGCCTACAGCGTCGGCACCACCACCACCACCAAGACCGTCTCCGGTATCCTCGACACCGGCACAACCCTCATCTACACCGACCCCGCCATCGTCAAGGCCTACTACGCCAAGGTCAGTGGAGCCAAGAACGATGCTACACAGGGTGGTTACATCTTCCCCTGCACTGCTACCCTCCCTGATTTCTCCATCACCGTCGGTGGCGTCAAGCAGACTGTTCCTGGTAAATACGTCAACTACGCCCCTCTCGATGATGGTACTGGTGCTTGCTTCGGTGGTATCCAGACTGATGACGGTATTGGCTTTAGCATCTTCGGTGACATCTTCCTTAAGAGCAAGTACATTGTTCACGAGATGGGTAGCTCTGGACCTAGACTGGGTTTCGCGCAGCAGGCTGGTATTTAGATCAGTTCTTTGTTGAGCAATGATCAAGATGGAGAGAAGGGGGTGGATGAGATACCACATCGTCGCTGGGATACGCGGCGCTGTTTGTGAGGGCTAGAAGCCTGGTGTTTTATTTTCTGCAGAGTAAATATTATTCATCGCTTTGTTACTTTGATGTTTGATACCGTTGAACGAGTGGTTTCATAAATGATACCATAAACTAACATATGTGTATTGAGTTCTTATGACTACCCATCTCGCTAGCCGACTACAACGCAAAGATGCCCTTGAAATACCCCTCAACGCCCTTACACCCCTCCCCATCAACCTCATCAATATACCCAACATACTGATCCGGTCTCGCAACAACAACACACCCCCTCTCCCTATCAACCCCATACCCCTTATACGCATCGCCAAAGCCCTCAAACGGATTCGCGTCATCCGCATACACGGAGTCGTAATCCCAGCCCGTCTTTGCATCAAACGGATGTAGGATATCCGGGATGTCGCGCAGCAACTCTACTTCTTTCCACTTGGACGAGTGTAACGTGAGTACCTCGATGTTCTTACCGAGATGCGGCGCTAATACCGATGACGACTCGAGGGCCTGGCAGAAGGTCTTTAGACGGGCGCTCTGCTGAGCGTTGGTCACGTCGCCAGCGAAGACGATGATGCGGAAGCGACCATCGCTTTTAAGCTTCTGCTGGAATTCCCAGGCGCGGCCGTCGGCTTGGTTGATGACTTGGTGGCTGGGGAAGCGCATGCCGAGTTTGATCTCTGAGGATAGCTCTTGCTTGCCGATGACGGGGGACGAGGAGGAGACATCTGTGCCGTCGCCTTGGTCGGCGGCGGAGCCCGGTTTGCCGACTAGCATGCTGGTGCCGTAGTCGACTGAGAGACCGGTTGCGAAAAGTTGGCCTGGAGGGAGGGTTAGCGAGGGAGTAGTCGGCGTGAATGATGTTACGCACCTTTCAGGAAAGCATTCTTGAACTCATCCATACTGACGCCTTCTTCGTCCATGACGTCCTTGGCTGGTCGACCGGAGAATAGCCGGGAGAACTTGTGGTCAAATGCGATCAGGTCTTGCGCGATACGTCTTCGCTCTGACTGATATGTCTTTAGGATAGAGGGATGCGCGATGCCCTTCACGACCAGACCTAGCTTCCAGCCTAGGTTGTACCCATCCTGCATCGAGACATTCATACCCTGACCTGCTTTCGGTGAGTGCGTATGTACAGCATCACCAGCCAGGAAGACACGGCTCTTGTGATCGAAGTTCTTGCCGACTCGCTGGCCGATCTGATATGCTGTCCACCAATCGCAGTATTCGTACGTCAGCTTATACGGCGCCATGATCTTTTGTGCTGCTGTGATGATGGTTTCAGGGGTGATCTTCGACCTGTCCGCTCGGCCACTGGCGTCGGGCTTGATCTCTGTGAGCTGAATGTAGAGGCGGGCGATCTTGTTCTCACGCGGAATAATCATCATTGATCCGGAAGACGCGCTATGAATGGCACAACGCTTGCGAACGTCCGGGAAGTCTGTGATGGGGATAATGTCCAAGACGCCCCAGATGTGGTCGGTGGGCTCGCCTTCGAGCTCAAATCCTAGTTGCTTTCGCGTCCAGCTGTGAGCGCCGTCGCAGCCTAAGACGTACTTCGCCTTGACAGTCTCAGTGCTGCCTTGCTTCTGCTGGCTGTTGGCGATAAGGTCTCCAGTGTCGTCTTCGGCCAGATTGCTCCTGAAAAGACCATCGTTGACTCCAGATCCTTTGCTTTGCGCTGGTTTGGCCTCGTCCTCCGTGAGATATCGGAGCTGGACTGTAACAGGGTAGTTGTCGGGCGAGTGGTCATCAACTCGATCCTCAGCGATGTGTAGTGACTCTGGTAACACCGCGCGTTCGACGCGTAGCGTATCCTTGGAGTGCTTTTTGATATGATCGAGGAAGAACCTCTCAATCCGTCCCTGGTGCAGAACGATCTCCTTGAATCGTGAGAGACCGGGTGGTGTATCTGGAACTCCGTCTGAGCGGCGTATCACACCATCTTCGCCGGGATTCTACGAATGTTAGGGATGGTGGTGGGTTTATCGAGTGTGATAACATACCCACATGCAAAACTGATGATTGGTTAGTAAGGTTTACTCAAGCCGAAATCGGTTGATGTGCATACCTCTATCAAGTGATTTGCTTCCTTCCAAGCTCTATCCGCGAAACCAAAGCTATCAAAGATCTCCAGGCTGCGGAGCTGTAAACCATCTGCCTGTCCCGAGTAGATCTTTGTGCCGCGCTTATCAACAACACGAGCATTGATGCCACATCTTGCCATCCAAGCCGAGAGCATCAGCCTAAGACTCGGTCAATTCTGAACAATGCCCATTGTTGTGGTGATCGTTACCCTGCTGGACCAGCACCGACAATAAGACTTTAGAACTCATTAGCTACATGTTCGCATTGTTTGATACCGACAGACTAACACATCGCACTTCGACTCTGGGGTCTCTGGAACCGTCATCTTGTAGTCTCTTTGCCGTTGTCGCTAGAGTTGGTTGTTCGCGTGTGATTACCCCGGTCAAAGGTTTGCTTGGGTACAAGATATGCTCTACACGTCGCGAATGTGGCTTTCATCTAATATAAGACGGCCTTACAAACGCTCCGTCCCGCGCACCCTAGCAATCTCACACTACGGCAATGCTGTTCGGCGTGTCGCACCGCCCACATCCCGGCGTTGTCGACGCGATCTGGTGCGTGGCTACCCCACATCACGCCAAGCCGATTTGGACCGTATGACGCATGGAACGGCGTCCTGAGTTCGTGATTCGCGCATTTCGGTGTGGGCCTGAAGGTAAGCGCAAAAACGTTTTGGGGTTTGTCAGACGTTTGTCAGGTGGATGAGGTTGAAGAGGAGTTGAAGATGGGGATGTGGATGCAGCCGTCCCGAGTGCGGCTGCGCTCCTTCCATCGTGCGTCCAAGGCGCAAGGACTGTGGGTCCTTGGTCATGCTTGGTAAACGAGAGCGTTGACAGTGGTTGGATTATGCACACGATTAGTTAGCTACCTTGAGTAAATCGCTGTGCCCAGGTGGCACGGTTGAGTTTGCTCTGATCAAACCTCGACTTTTAGAAGTATTCTGTCGCACCGGCGTAGTCGCCGACACGCTGCGCCCTGGAGCAAATTCTAGTATTGAAATGGGGTCATGACGTACATACATCATCAGCGACGGCGACGTAGGTGTACGTCACCGGCGCTATGGCCTTGAGCCAGTCAATTTGTAAGGGCTGTACCATTCTACACTTGTAAGTTCCATTCGTCTTTGAGAAACCTCGGATTCAAATCAACATGTCCACAAACTACGACTTCAAGACCGCCCTCGTGACCGGCGGAGGTGGCGGCATCGGAAAGGCCCTTGCGCAACAATTCATAAAAGACGGGAAGAAAGTCATCATTGCCGGCCGCACAGAGTCAAAACTCCAAGAAGCCGCGAAAGAAATCGGCGCAGCAGCTTACTACGTGCTTGACACTGGAGATGTCAAATCCATCCCAGCATTCATCAAGAAGCTGATTACCGAACATCCGGACCTCGACTGCCTCGTCAACAATGCGGGAGTACAGCGACCGCTCGATGTCAACGAAATGGATCCAGAAGAATTTGGAAGCAAGGCCGATCAAGAGATCGACATCAACCAACGTGGGCCCATGCACCTTACATTGCACCTGCTCTCACACTTCAAATCCAAGCCAATGGCACTCATCGTCAACGTATCCTCCGTCCTCGGCTTCGTTCCGTTCTCCCTCGTCAATCCCGTATACTGCGGTACCAAAGCATGGCTGCACTTCTGGTCAATGAATCTACGCGCTCAGTTAAAGGATACCAAAGTCAAGGTCATTGAGATTGCGCCGCCGACCGTAGCGACGGATTTGCATCGTGAAAGGAAAGATCCAGATGACAACAAGAAGGAGAAGAACCAAGCTGCGTTGAGTGTCGAGGAGTTTACGGAGGAAACGATAGGGAAGTGGAAGATGGGAGATGAGATGATTGCTGCGGGACCTGCGAATAAGATTGTGGATACTTGGCAGGAGCATATGGGACCTATTTTCCAGAGCATGGCCAAATAGTCATGGCGTCCCGACGAATTGATTTTTAGTCAATGAGATATGTGGTTTGTTCTGAAGTGACCTAGTGATATGACCTCGGGATGATGCGCGCACGTATCTCTTACCGCAGGCGCGCTCGATGCCCAGGTGTCAGCTGCAAGCGGCTAGCGTGATGCCTGAACGCCAACCTCAGACGCGATGCCAGCCATCTGAGTTTCAAAGGCGCGTCGAAAAAGTAACACAACAAGTTCTCTGACTCCAGAGCCCGATTCCAATCCTGGGTGATGATCCTGATGATCGTAGTTGCCAGCAGACGGGACTCAATCTCAAACTCCCTGGTTACTCGCGCTCTTTCCTGACCCGCGACTCGCTCTCAAATACCTCTTCCGCCGCCACCTCATACCAGCCCACCGACCCAAGCTCACACACGTCAAACATCCCGTCCCGGTAAACGCCGCAAAAATGGTGAAATACCACCCGCGACCTACAGCGCGCACCAGAGGATCAATGATAGCAGCAGACGCAGCACTAAACGCGCCACGAGCAAGCTGACCCGACGCGTACGCCGTGCTCGGTACTTCAGGAAACACATCCACGAGCAGCGCATTCGCAGTGTGACTGAGCAGTGTAGCCAGTGCGGAAACGAAGAATTCCAGTACAAGGGGAACAGCGGCGTGAGTGTGTTGTTGCACCGTCCATCCATAGCCTGTTACCAGTGCTGTCTCGATTAGAATCAGCGGAATCATGTTCCTGAACCGAGCGCGTTCGATTGGAAAATCCAAGATGTTTGCTGGGTCGACTATCTCGGCTTGACGCGCGTGGTGCGCGTAGTTTATGTCCATGAGTTTGCCGGCTATCGTCCCGCCGATTGTCATGCCAGCCAGCGCAGGTAGGAAGCTTAGTCCGATTTGTAGCTCGTTGTAGT